ATTAACAAACGGAGGCGTAACAATATTACTAAAAACTGCAAACAAAGCCTTTAAAAATTAAAAATTCTCATGAATAACAAGAAAAGAAATCAGCTATAAGGTGGAAAACATGGTGATTACATCCAAGATTGTGGTGAATCAATAACTTATGACAAAGCACGGAGACAATAATCTGAAGATGGAAATATTCCATATGCTCCAACTGAGATAATGAGTTCATTATTTAAAGAAATGAGTCCACGAGTAAATGAATGAGGCAGTGTTGTAGGGTACGTTATTTTTCACTAAATGTAAATTTTTGCGTTGTTGTTGGTCATGTAGGAGATTTCACATCACGTGATGGGCGCAACATAATGACTAGAACTGTCTTGAAAGTTTAAGAAGTGATATGAGAAGCATAAAAACGCGAATAAATCTGATGTAGTGAAATATTAGTAAGTATACGAATTTATTACTGAGTTAGTTAGTTTGTTAATCAATTGGACAATCCATTCCAGTTTCTGAATATTGAAACTGTATTTTAATGAAACATTAGAGCTATTAGAATTATCTTACGTACGAAGCAATAAAAAAGCATGTAAAATTGTTGTGTTAGCGTCCACAGTGAACTTAGGCCTATCAGTGGACATAAGCAAAGCTAATTTGTGGTACTTGAAGGTAAAGAAATAAAACGTGTTTTTAATCATTTAGTGGACTGCATTACTTTTTATCGAATACTCTAAAAAAAAACAAATAAAAAAACGCGCCCAGTACTATAAACCATTACAAAAATGCGAAGGAATTAACAATTGGTCGAACATAAATGTCTTCAAACTGTGGATCATGACTCATGAGAGCATCTAAAGGGGTTTGGGAACAACCCCCGAAGTTTCTTCCATCCCGGCAAAAAAAAAGAAAAAAAGAAGAACATACATATATAATATGTATTTATTTTATATTGCACATACATATTATATTTTACTATGTTACTATACTGTACTTTGAATAATTTTTATAATACGGCTTCCCCATTGAAATTGTTAAACAATTAAGCAAAGCTAATTTTTCCAGGAAGGGAAAATACCCAAAATGTTAAATATAAACCAAATGGAGTTATGGGAATGACAAGTATTTTTTTTAGGGGTGGTGTATTTTTCTAGGCATATTCCCACAAGAACCGAAGTCCTGGCTATGGCCTAGAATTCAGATATTCGCGCAAAACTACAGAAGAGTATCTGCACATAGTAATCCTTAATTATAAATTGATAGTTTGTTTGTTATGCAGCTTGCCAATAATACCTGTCGCTAATAGTTGGGTTACTATTATTTGACAGAATAGTGAGATTTGACCGTTACTCTTAGAGCGCATTCACGATCTCAAATGTCCTCCGGCGGGACAGAGGTAAGTTTACAGGCTCTCATGCTTAAATCCGGGGTTCGATTCCTTGTAGTGGAAACAGCAGATAGTCCAAACAACAACAACAACCCCAATTTACGAAAGACGTTTTTTCGGCAACATAACGCGAACTGTTATACCTTGAATTCACAGAGTAATTACACTAATCATTGGTCACACCCGGTGTTTCTTTTAGTATTCTACATGGTTTGCTATTGAGTGTTTTAAGGTTATAGAATATCTTTAAACTAAACTGTATGTGTATAACCGAATTATCATACTAATGATTTTTGTTTTGTTGTTGAAGAGCAGTTGTTATAATTTGTTGATTTTTATTTAACCTGACAAACTGAGGTGAGGGGATCTTGAATGCTCAGGCTCTCAAAAAGGGGTCCCGGAATGAAAATATTTGAAAATTCCTGGTCTAACAGTTAAATTCGGTTTACGAGTCTTGAGCAAAGCGTAAAATTTGGGTCTTACAGTGTTTTGAAACGTAGTTTCTGAAAAATGTTCTTTTTAGTTTCTCCCGCTCTTTTGAGGCCCCCAGTGACACAGCGGTATGTTTGCGGACTCACAGCACTAGAAACTGGGTTTCGATAACTGTGGTGGGCAGAGCACAGATAGCCCATTGTGTAGCTTTTGCTTAATTACAAACAAACAAATACTCGCTCGTTTAAAATCATCCAATACAATTTTTAAGTATCTTTCATTTGTTTCACTAAGACTTTTATAATTTATTGGTACTAAGTTTGTGAAACAGAGTTGTGTTTTCATAGCTAGACCTGTTCATATAATAGCTTTATCAGAGGGAAAAACGTTCATTAGGTGTTCCTTTGAAGCATTCATGTCATCTTGTGTTCTCTGCGTCAAATTTTATTTTGCTATTTTGTTACCTAGAAAGCGTTTTTCTTCATTTCTGTCATTAACCAGTGACTCCGGTACTGTCGTGAGGCTGTCCAGTTATTTGTGTCACAATGTGGAAAGTAAGGACTGTATGGTGTAAATGAGAAATTCAGTACATTACTTAAAATAGGAAGTTAGAAATACGTTAATTGTTTGCTGGAAAAGATTACACTACAATTTTTGAGTTTTAAAATTCAATGGTGTTTCAATATAAGTTAATTTAGGTTACTCACTGTCGTTTAAATTACGATTGTTACTGCTTGTTTTTTGTGGGTTTTTTTTCAGAATATTTGCGCAAAGTTACACGAAAGACCATTTGGGCATAACCGTCTTTCAGTTTGAGCTGATTGACTAGAGGGAAGGCAGCTTGTTAACATCTCCCTCATCCTATACTTGGGCAACTTTTGTATGACCACAGTGAGGAGCGCGTTTTTTGTGATAACAGACCGTGAACCATAAACCCAATTCACAGTCCGAGCATGCTATTCACTAGGCTACGCTCGACCCAATTTTTACCAAGATGTTGCCTTTTGATAAACCTATCCACTAGACAAGTTCGAAATGTTCGTGCTGTAGTGAAGAAAGAAAAGTCATTACGGAGTTCAAGACAGATTTGACCTTATTTCTTGCAAAAATCATCCTGGAGATTTGCCAACTTACTAAGCCTTACATTTAACGTATAACGTATAGTATTCAACTCTTGGCTTTTATTTGCTTTTTAGAAAACTGTTTTTGAAAAAAAATATTTGGAGTTTGCAGTCCTTTTGATCGCTAGAGCAATTTGTAATCGCCTTAAAACACAGCTCTTTGGTCAATATTTTTTTTCAAATAACTTGGAAATAGATAGGCCGACCGTAGGAGTTTTGCGGGGTGTAAGTTTTGAGTTTTACTTTAAATGTAGAAATATTCCAATAGAATCATAATTCTAGACTACCTTCACATAAAATATTCATTATAGCGAGCATTCGAGTTTAGCCATGAGCTATTCTTCAGGTAAGACAATTTGTAAACCTAAACGACAGTTCAAAGAACATAATGTAAAACATTACATAACATGCAACAATTATTTATGTTGTAAAACTGACACAACAGATGGCAGTATATACCAATATTATTGGTTGGCTATTATAAAGCAACACAATGGGCTATCTGTACTCAGCCCAGCACTAGTATCGAAACCCGGTTTCTAGTACTGTAAGTCCGCAGACAAACCACTATGTTACTGGGGGCAACAAAGTCATATTGAACTGTCTGCTGTGTCCACCGCGATGAATCAAACTCCGGAGTTTAGCGTTGTAAGTCTGTAAACTTACCGCTGTCCCATCAGGGAACATATTAAGATATGAAACAAATCTTATATTTTCAATGAATTATAATTTTAAATGAAGGAGTCAGTTTAAAAAATTAATAATTGAGTAAAATAATATAAATGAAAACAGAATATCGAGGATTAATTTTAGAGACATGATACAAAAATAAGAAACGAGATATGATATTTATTCTCTAGAAGTCATGATTCAAATCTCATTTTACCGTAGATGTTGTGATTTAAGATAATATGGAGTAAATTATAAAGTGTTTATATTTTAATAATTTTCAGATTCATTTCTCATTCAAAATAATACAGCTGAAAACCTGATGCAGAACAGCATTAAAAGATCCATTTACCAATTTTTATCTGAAATTTTAAAACCCATTTTGACCAATGAAATATCTAAATAACTCAGAAAAACTGAAAAAGGAAAGATTGAGGCGGAAATTGTGAACAAAATTCGATTTCATTTGTGGTTAACAGATAAAAATGCGACACCTAAACAAGTTTATTCTAAGGTGTTGTGGCTTGGTATGGCCTGGTGGTTAGGGCGCTCGACTCGCAATCTGCGGGTCGCGGGTTCAAATCCCCGTCACCAAACATGCTCGCCCTTACAGCCGTGGAGGCGTTATAATGTGATGGTTAATTCCACTATTCTTGGGCAAAAGAGTAGCTCACGAGTTGGCAGTGGGTGTTGTTGACTAGCTGTCTTCCCTCTAGTCTTTCACTGCTAAATTAGGGACGGATAGCGCAGATAGTCCTCGTGTAACTTTGCGCGAAGTTCAAACCTTTTGTTCTCCTGTTTTATGGGAAATGTGTGTCCGCGTTTATTGATGATTTATTTAAACAGTTTTGTTTAACACGCCTTTGTACGATAAACCATGCAAATGTTATATAACCAATTGATTGTGTACGTTATTTTCAGTAAAAACAAATAAATATACACCCTTTCAAGTATGGTTGATTGTTTTTATGCCATTCCTCGAGGGGTGACGGCGGCTAAGGATACATGCAAGGTTTGGTGAGAATCGGTCAAGTAGTTCGCCACTTATAAGCAGACACACACACACACACACTTTTGTCAAACAGTGGTTTAGATGTATCACAGAGTGTTGGGTGTGTTTGTATGTGTCAATAAGCCTTTGTTATTGATATACGATACTTTAAACTGGAGTAACGAGCCTCGTGAGGTCTTATTTTCTATCGTAATTAAGGACTTGCACGTGGAAGTTTCTGTATAAGTTTGATTAATAAACTTCACTAAGATTTATTATTGTAGATCTGTGACGGAGACCAGCTCCCATGATTTTATTTAGAATCGTTCACAATAGGCGCTCAGCATAAATACATATTTATCAACAAAAATCAAAAATCTCAGAATCTTTATAGTTCGATGTGCTGAAGTTGATGATGTAAATGTTTATAAAAGAAACATATATTGATAATACATAGAAGCACAATTCACAGATTGATCATCAAAAGTTTATACGACAAATACAATAAATGCTTTGTCCAGGTTATGTTTGGAACCTGCAACTGCTTTTTTCTTGTAGCATCCTGCCATCTGTTGTCAGAGTAGTAGCACTACGCATAGTGGACGAGAAGGACCAAGTCTCTGTACCAGCGTAAAGTCTTGAACGCATTGGCCATTTCTAGAAAAATGTTTAAATACATATAATTTACTGTTAACATTAGCAGAGATCGGGATATGTAATTGTATAATGTAAATATACATACAAATAAACTGTCATATAGGTATTAATATATTTAATATATATATATATATTAAAAGTAGCGGTTCCCATAATTTTTCTGAGTAGCCAGTCCATTTTTGGGGGATCAGTGGTCAGTTGATGGAGTGGCGTTACTGTATCTTACAAATAAATTTAAAATTAAAACATCTTTAAGATTTACTTTATCTTGTTCTGCGACTCATCTCAATATCTCTTGCGACCCACAGTTTTGGAATTGCTGACTTAAATGTATTAGTAAATAATAATTCAGATTGTTACTTTATTTACTGTATTTTTACAGCATCTCTTCTTATAACAGTAAAAAGGTACAAGTGCTGGAATTTGAGTGTTGCAGCTCAGTGTTCATTCTAATATGTGCATAAATTTGTTTGTTTCAGCGCAAAGCTGCACAATAGGCTATCTATACTTGTCCACCACAGGGAATCGAATCTTGGATTTAGTGTTATAAGTCTGTAAATTTACCGCTAGTTGTTCCTAGCACAAATGACATAGTTTTATTCAGAGTGCAAAATTTCTCGAAAAAAATGTAAAGGCTTTTGCATAAGAAAACTAAAAATCATGAAACAAAATTCGATGTGTTTTTTTTTTAACATAGAAATGGATTGTATAGTTAGGACCATGCGTGGTCTAGTGGTTAGCGTGCCTAGCTACGGATCAGAAGATCCAAAGTTTGAGTCTGCTATATAAAGCTGAACACGTTTCGCAGTTTCCGCTAGGGGCGCTTTATATAACTAACAATCATCCACGATCAAGAGTAGCCGTAGAGGCGGCGAGTGCTGAAAAATGGTTCCCCTTCCTCTGATCTGACCTAGCTATTTAGCCCATGTGTCGATGAAGGTGCTGTTCAGGCTAACAATATCAAATAAAGTACAATTAACTTTTTTATGATAAAATATGAAGTCTTCTATTCTCACTTTGTGGTTTTCCCTTCAGTGTTGTATCACGTAAATTAATAAGTAATTATTACATTACTGCAATAATACTAAAGATGCAGCTTACGGCGGATGGTCAGATTATGGAAAATAGTACGTTAGGAGTTACAAATGTTTACTCATAACCGTTAACTGTATATGGACATCCACTATCCAATGTTTATAATGTGTGGCAGATTAAACTGTCCAGTTTGACATGAGAACACTGCTTAAGCTCTTTTTTATTACTATGTCCGTGTGACCTGGCTAAGATTGTAAATTTAAAACTGTAAGACATTGATATGCGGCGTCCTTCTCAAGCAGAGTTCTATGATTTTGAATCACTTGTTGGTTTGTTGTTAAATACCAAGATACACGATGAGTTATCTGGGCTGTGCCCACCAGGGGTATCGAAATCCAGTTTTTAGCGCTATAATCCTTCAGAGTTACTACTGAGCCAGGGACTGAACCACTTGTTTCTGCTGGGCAACGTATCTAAGGTTGATATATATATGTGTGTCTTCTCTGAGGCCATGGTCAGTAGGTGGATCAGTTAGTGAAACGTTGTCTACAATAAACAAACCTTCCAGCAGGTTATCTTCTTTAAGGTAATGGTCAGTAGATGGATCAGTTGGTGAAACGTTGTCTCCAACAAACAAACCTCCCAGCAGGTTATCTTCTTTAAGGTAATGGTTAGCAGCTGGATCAGTTGGTGAAACGTTGTCTCCAACAAACAAACCTTCCAGCAGGTTATCTTCTTCAAGGTAATGGTTAGCAGCTGGATCAGTTGGTGAAACGTTGTCTCCAACAAACAAACCTTCCAGCAGGTTATCTTCTTTAAGGTAATAGTTAGCAGCTGGATCAGTTGGTGAAACGTTGTCTCCAACAAACAAACTTTCAAGCAGGTTATCTTCTTTAAGGTGATGGTTAGCAGCTGGATCAGTTGGTGAAACGTTGTCTCCAAAAAACAACCCTTCCAGCAGGTTGTCTTCTTTAAGGTGATGGTTAGCAGCTGGATCAGTTGGTGAAACGTTGTCTCCAAAAAACAACCCTTTCAGCAGGTTGTCTTCTTTAAGATCATAATTAGTGGGTAGATCAGTTGATAAAACGTTGTTTTCAACAAACAAACAAACATTTCAGGAGGTTTTTCATCGTAAATTAATTTTACCATACACGTGTGTCTTATTTGAAGGTAGTTGTTAGTAGGTGAATCAATTGGTTAAACTTCAAACCTTCCAGCAGGTCGTCCACCGTAAATCAATTTTACAATGTAAGTGTGTCTTATCTGAAGGTAATGCTTAGCAGATGAATCAGTTGATGAAATGTCAAACCTTCCAATAGGTTGTCCATTATAAATATATATTTTTTCAATATACGCGTGTCTTTTTTTTTGCGATCTGGTACGATTTACCGACTTAATAGAGCTTATATCTATGTGTGTATACACACACATCTACACACTCATGTATATAATTTCAAACGATGTTGAGGCTAATAAATACCTTAACACATATAAGAACGACAAATAAAACTAGGGTATAAGCCACAGTAGGAATGCATTCTACTAGGAGAGATGTCTACAGTTATAGGACCCACAAAATAGTGAAGGAATATACGTTATATCAGATGTAACCTAAATTCTCATATCTCCATAGAGCTCACATACCTGCAAGAACAACATAATGAAGTGTGAGACAACTATGGTAATATATGCAACTAATTCACGAACAAAAATATTTTTATTTCAAATTTCGATAATGGAATTCATCATACAACTTCTTCTCGTACCTGTGAGCCGTTCAAAACCGGCGTTCTTTCTTTCTGGTGTTTGTTATGTATATTGAAATTTCTGGCTCAGCTAACTCACAAAATTGATACTAATTATCATTAGCTTTTGGATGATAAAACGGAATCAAAGGCAGTAGGTATCTTTTCGGACCTACGAAAACAAGACTAAGTCTAGTCCAAGAAGTTGTACTTCAAACAAATACTCACATAGTAAACAAACTAGGCCTAGAATGAATGTTAAGCAGTGCTAAGTCACGCAGGTGTAATTAAGAAATGTTCATAGGATATTGTTAAACTTATAAAAGCTAGAGATTATTAGAGAGATGGTTTGAAAAATACTTAAAACACATAGAATACAGTGTCCCGACAGGTAGAAGGAATATTATCAGCACCCAAGAAAGTGATTACTGAGGGCAGGAGCAGTAAGTTTGTTACAAACCTGATGGAGAGTGGTCTGATGAAAAGAGTTATAAAGTCATTTAAGAAGGACTTGTAAGAGATAGTTTCCAGTGCTATGCCACATGCTCTGAAGGATGACAAATCTTAAACAACAACTTTGAATACAGTGGAATACTGAATACTTATAACATCAAGCTTTTAGGGGTAGTTACTAAAGTTTTTTCAGGCACTGATGGTAAAATGTCCCATCTGGCAAGAGGTCTAAAATATTCCTTCTGAGAGGAAACCCGTCATTGTGTTCAAGAAGAATATTCATCAGCAAGGAGGACCCAAAGAAAATCATCAATGTCTAGGGAGAATGAATGTTGGTGTTAGGTTTTCACTTACTTTTTCTCTTGGCATGTTCATTAAATGAGATGCTGAGGTGTTAAAGAACCTAGGCAATTTGACTCTTCAGTTTAAAAGATTAATTTAAGAAATATGGATTTAGTATTCCTAGACACAAGTAGTGTTGATTAAAGTAATAGTGGATTTTAGTGCCTAGAAATTGAAGCATATAAAAATGGAGGGATAAAGCTAGGCTTCCAAAAATACCCATCATAATGCCAGTAGAATGGCAAATGACTTTTCTATAAAAATACCTGCTATATCAAGAAGAAAGAACGCTTGATAAATGTTAAGAAGATGTAGAATTCACATGTTGTTCTTCCAGAAAATGGATCACATAAATCACATGTGTAAACATGAAATGAAGTCACAGTGTCGTGAAAAAGTTCAAAGAAGCAATAAGGAAGGTATTTATCGTATGGGAGCAAGCTGGAAAAGAATTCAACCCGGAATTCAGGCATTCGCCAAAGTGGCGGAAAATGAGAATTGAAAACAGGTAGTTCAGAGATAAAATTATTACCAGATTGTTGACACTGTCGATAACGGTTGAAGGCCATGTCTTCATTAAATGTATACTAAGTTAGCTTATTATAGCATGATATAAGAGGAAAGTAATTTGATGATGGTTGAAACATACTTAAAGTCTTGTTGAAAAAGACTATTTATCTATAACCGTCAAAGTTCTGGTAAGGTTACACTCAAAAGCACGCAAGAAAATGTACAAAAAAACTTACTAGAAAATATCAATTTGACGCAAATGAGAATGGACGCAATGAAATATTAAATTGCTTATAATCCAGTTTATGTCTGATAGAGGAGTAAGGTAAAAGAAGATGGATGAACTGATTTGTCCACGAGGAGCAGCCTGCAATAATACATAACAAATTCGGGAATTGAAAACATTAAGCAACAAGGTCCAAAATATTAACTTGTCAATTAATACGATTATCCAGAGTATCCTCCTGGGGGCAATAGTATAACACCTTTTATATGTGCAGATGATTGATAGCAAATAAAATCTGGACAAGATTAATCTTAGAACTGGAAAATACAATATAAGTGAAGTACTAGGTAATTTAACTAAATAAAGTATAATATGTCATCTTTGTCAGAAAACAACTTATAGAAGTAAAGTTTGCTTTAGAAATCCAAGGGCAATGAAAGTCTAGTCTTTAGCACATATTTAAAAGCATTGCTAAACACAAGACAGAAAAGAAATGAGATAAAAGAACTGAAAACCATCGGGAGTTGGGAAATGGCACAACTCTATAATGTTTCTAAAGTGGAAAGCACAATTTAGTGATCTAGTTGTTCTTTAATACTTCGAAAATAAAACTTAAGAAAGATGTCTAAGATTTCGGAGTACTGAACTAGTTACAGAATCATATTCTGGAGTTTAATCGCGTTAATGTAGTTAAGGTGAAAGGAGCAATGATTATATTTACTGAGTCATTAGTCAATTCTCTAGGGTGTGGCTTAGTGGTTAGTTTATCTGATTTGAAATCAAAGAGCTCGGGGTTCGAGATATGATTCTACTGAACATGCTTCACCTTTCAGTTATGGGTGCATTTTTAAAGTGACCGTCAATTTTGTTATTTTGTTTCGAAGCTTTTGTGGTTCGGGTGCTACTGGCTACACATATACTGCTACAAATAGTCCCTGGTCAGCTCCTGTGGTGTTAGTTGAGAGAAAGGATGGGACCCAACGTTGCTGTGTGGACTTCAGAGCTCTTAACAGTATAACCAAAAAAGACTCATATCCACTGCCACGAATTGATGATACTCAGGTTTCCATCACGTAAAAAT